TTTGATGGAGAAAATAGAGAAAACATAGAATACGTGAAACAGGTTTAAAGAGATTACCAGGAAACTAAAAACTCTATTGAAAGCTGGCATAACAGCTTGAAAAAAACTAAGGATAGATTATCTGAACTGGAGGGCAGATTTGTAACGTGGGAGCATGAAATGAAAAACTTCTTAAAAACAAGAAAACAAACAGCAATAATACAAAGGCTTGAAGATGATAAGAGGAACTATAACTTAAGAATTAAGAATGTAAAAGAAGTAGGGACACAAACAAATGAACTACAAAGGCTATTCACAGAAATAATCCAGGAGAATTTCCCTAATTTAGCAAAAGGTAAAGATACTCAGATGTATGAGGCATACAGGACCCCAGCCACCTACAACCCAAACAGAGCTACACCCAGGCATATAATAATCAAAATTCCAGAAATCCAATATAAGAACAGAATATTAAAAGCCGTCAAAGACAAGAAACAGGTCACTTACAAGGGAACACCCATCAGAATTACAGCAGACTTCTTGGCACAAAACATCAAATCACAAAGAGCGTGGGGAGAAATAATTTAAGCTTTGAAAGATAATAACCTCCAGCCAAGATTGATATATCCTGCACAACTGTCCCTAGAAATTGATGGAAAAACAAGATGCTTCCAGGATAAAGAGGAACTAGGGGAATTTACAACCACCAATTCAACTCTACAGAGAATATTGCAGGGCATTCTAAAAAAAGAAAAATACCAAGATTCCATAAACAGTGGCAGAGAGGCCACAATGAATGGAGCAAAAAGTGAAATGAAGAAGACAAACTGACAACTAATGACAGAAAAAGAGCTCAACAGAAATGAGGCAGAGAAGGTTGGATGTTAGGAACAGCTGTTTTGGAGAAAACAAGACATCATAATAGCTAGTGCTGATTTAATATCGTCTTGTTTTGAAGTCCCATCAAGCTTTTGTTCTTCTGTCTCCATCGGTCTTAACATGTTGTATCTTATTGGATTTTATTATATGTGATAATATAAACAAAAACTTTTATAGACAAGGAGATTATACAGAAACCATTGTTCATTTTCTCCTAAAATACTGTCATTCTCTTGAATGGTTTTACATTGTCTTGATATGTTTGATGCTACAATATACGAAGTTATACTCAAAGATTTCAAGGAAAGAGACATTATGGTGACTACTATTATGTCAGGTTATCTGGTGGTGAAACACTATTTTGCTTAAATGGTTATGTTTTGACCTGTGCTGTTTTGTTGTTATATCCTCATTTATCTCAATCTCCCTTTTTTTATTATTTACTTTTTTATTTTTACCTTTTTAATTAAGGGAAAAATTAAAAAAAAGCAGGATATATTATAGTAATCCACTTTGATTTCCTATTAACTTAAGATTTGAAACCCTGTATTGCTCTCACCATCTTTTTTTGACTGATTTTCTGTTTTGCTTGATACTACCAAATTTGAAAGTATAGGCAAGAACTGTGAAGATAGTAAGATTCACTATGACACCCATTCTGGTTTGACTATTATCTTCTTTTGAAGTCCTGCAATGTCTCCAATGTTTTGGTTTTATTGGTTTTGTTCTTTACTGTTTTGTTTAATTTTATTATAACTGATTATATAGGCAATTCTTTTTAAGATAGCAAGAGGCAGTATGGTAACTATTGCTGATCACCTTGTATTCTGTTTTTAGATTATGTACTATGTTCATCCTTTTGATTTGACTGACTCTGTTTTGTTATGTCACATTTGGTTTTATTCTCTTCAAAAAAAAGTAATAAGAACTGTGGGAGTAATAAAACCCAAAATGTGTAATTGTCGTTGTACAAAAGAGAGGAAAAGAAAGTGCTCTAAAGGATATAACTGCATGTATAGTTAAGTGTATAAGATAGATAACCATATTACTGAGTTTTGTTGGATCATTGAACAGAACTGTTTGCAATGTCACTGCTTGAACGTCCACTTTATATACTTTAATTCTGTAACTTGAACAACTATTTCTAAGACAATATGTAATCTATTAATTAGTGATTTCCTACTGTTTATTTTTTCTGAAATTCTGTATAACTTGTACACTTTTTTTTCTTTTTCTCCTTAAATTAAAAAAAAAATCACCAAATTAATGCAAACTACTGGTAGTAAGCCATTTCTACCAATACCTAAGCAACTGCCAACCCCTCAACTTCAAAGACAAAGGCATGTGATTGCCATGTCTACAATGACTCACTGTACCTCATGCTCAGATTCTGTAAATTCTGGTGCAATTTACAGATGAAACGTACAATTTCTAACAAGTAAGACCATGGACAGATATGCTCCAATCACAGTGCTCACATGCTATGCCCTGCAATGTCATTCTATTAGTTTGCGCTGGTTTGATACATGACTCTCCTCACAAGGTGCAGCAGGTATTCCCTGGGCCTGGGTGGGCCTACGACTGTCTCCATCAGAGCAGCTGCAGCAGAAGAGACGCCATGTGACTGCAAGGCCACATTGTACCAGGCCTATCCTGCTTCTCTCTTGTTTACCTGAACACTGAGTCATCAGGAAAGAACTTTAAACACCCTGAAGCCACCACGTGGAAGGGCCACCGGTATGGTCCCCTGACAAGTGCTGGCTGAGCCTGTACTTCTAGTAACCCCTCCAGCGTCTGTGGTCCCTCACTGTCAGCAATTCCTGGCGGTGATCCAGACAGACTGCAGAGAAAGACCAGCCCTCCCGTGCGCTGTCTGAACTTCTGACTCACAGACTCCACAAGCAGAATCAAATGCTTGTTGCTTTGTAATTGTCTGAGGTAGCTAATTTCTTAGCAGTGGGTACCCAGGATATAAATTAACAACTGAACTGACAGGCATTAGATGAATGTCAGCTTTCGGCAGCTTGAATTCAGAGTGGTAAGGTCCTGGCTCGGGCCTTTAAAGACTTACAACCTGGCAGTAAATTCTGGTCACAATTATTCAGCAGGTAGAACAGTATGCAGCACACAGTAGATAGTAAGTATCTCTTGAACAACTGTAGAAAGAATTGTATTATGTAGGGTTGAGTGCTTGCTAATAAATACTTCTACCTGAATTTCAGTATTTTAATTGAACAAGGGAAAAGTAATACTAGTATAATATATATAAAGAGGATATAAAAACCATGCTATAATTTAATGCTTTCTATATGTACACTTGGTAATCAATTCTCAGATGTTTATATTAGACAGTCAGCCATCCTTCCCAATCATTTAGCTTTTCATTATAACTTTCACATTATAGGCTTATGATGCCTTGGAAATTATTAGTAACCCAAATTTTAATAAGCACACCTGGAAAAACAACTTTCAAGAGGATATAACTACTTAGCCTTCACTAGCCTATAAATGAAATGAGAGTTTACAATTTCTAAATCTTTACAGCACCATGATAAAGGCCTGACAGAGAATACTAGTAATATCTTTCAACTGCACATTAAATTCTCCTGTGCATGTAAATTAAGGGTTAGGGTTAGAGTAAGGTAACCCTAACCCTATTTCCAAATATGGGTGAATTATTTCTCATTGGTCTCAAAAAAATAAGTACTGAATTAAGACTTTATTTGGTTCTTCTGAACCCCATAACTGATAATTTATAAAAGGATAACAAGAACATTTTATCCCCTAAAAGGTAAGTTCCACTGACAGAAATAAGAAGTCTAAACTATCTTTCATCCATAACTACACCTGGTCTAGATGAGCACATTCCAAATTGTGAGGCCACTTTCCGGAAAGTCTCTGTATTATGATCAGATTTTAAGCCTCTGGTGACAGAAAATATCCAAAATATAAAGCTACATTATATGCATTTTTCAAATATCTATTTATAAAAGTACTTTTATATTTAAATGTAATGAAATGTCACATTGTTTTCATAGCAATCAAGACTAGATTTGTACTGCACCAAAGAGTTATCTGAAGTTAAAAATGATACATTTCAATACATTAGTTCTACCATTTTGTGTAATCCTAGCCCTAGAAGTATCTTAATTCTTCCTAAGTGTTTACATAATTTTAAAGATCAAATCTTACTAAAATCAAATTATAAAATTTACCAGTGAGTTGAATTACTTAACCTTTTTAAGAGCTCTTAATAGAACAAAAATGCTCATTGAATGTTATAGGGCCTCCTTGTTCAGCCTAACCTAACTTTACAAGATCTTAGCAAATTAATTCCAACTGATTTCCATGTTCAGTTTTCCAACAAAATTACCATTTTTTTGGTTGTATAATATCTCACTGAGTTATGCACCATATTTTTAAATTTCCGTTTTTTAAGTAATTATTTTAACACCAATTTATCAAACCATGCAGAATTTTGCAGTTAACATCTTCATATATAATTTTTCTATCTGGATTACTTACTTAGGACAGTGTTGGTGAACCTTTTAGTTTCCAAAGACAATAAACAGCCTGCTGTGGCATGTATGCCAGAAGTTCACCACCAATGCCTTAGGTTAACAGCTAGAAAAAAGGATATTTACATACACAGTTGTAAAACTGCCAAACTGTCTTTTAAACAGCCTATTATTATAATCTATCACCTATTGAATTAAGTTTCATATTACAGAAACAAAAATGTTCGTGGGTATAAAGTAGTACTCCCTTGGCCACGTGCAGGCCTGTGTTTCCAGCCTTGGAGGCTGAGATAGGTCTGTAAATTGGAAATTCCACCTGGACAACTTAGTGAGACCCTGCAAAGAACAAAAAGGGCTTGAGATAGAGCTCAGTGGAAAGGCCCTGGCTTTAATCTCCAGTACTATAACTGACCACCATCAACCAATCTGTGGTTCATTATCACTATGGAGTTTGATAAATCATTAAGTATTTTTCCATATAACTTATCTATTGCATTCCTTTTGTATTCAAGTTGTCTATTTACTTATTGGTGCTTTGATGTATTTTTAATAAGTCTTGATTTGTTCACTTGAGGAATCTTTTTATAAAATCTAGTTAATTTTCTTTTTTCCTGTATTTATTACCTGTTTTTAAGATGTGCCTCCAAATCACAGCGTTGCATCACATCTTGGCACACTGAAGAAAATGGACATAAAACTAATAATTTGTCTAGAAGTTTATGAACTAGAATGCTGGACTTCTTACACAACTTGAAGTGAAGTCTTTTCCGGTCCAATGGACAAAAGTCTTTCTCCTGTAAGAAGTTCCGGAGGCACTTGTAGCAGAATGTGTGTCCACAGGGGGTGTCCAGCGGCTGCAGCAAGGGCTGGAGGCAGATGTGGCAAACAAGGTCATCGTCCACCTCATCCTGGTAATTGTACAAGTGGTTTTCTCTGGTCCAGTGCTGCTGGCCACACTCAAAGCACAGGGGGTTCAGGGAAGAGGAAGAGGAGGTCTGCTCCACAGACATCTCCTCGCTGGTCGTTCCCATGCTGGCTCACACCCACACGGTCTCTGTATCCTCATAGGTCGGAGGTTTGGTTCCCTTTAATAGACGGAGATGTAGCTGACGACAGCCAAGGTCCCTTTTTCTAGACAGACAAAAACAAACAAAATTAGTATCTACCAAGATAAGATAAAAGTGTCACCATATTATTGCTAGTTAATTTTTTAGGTTAAAAAAAATCAAAATTTAGGTCAAATTAATCATCAACAAAGAAAACCTAATTTGCCAGATACTAGGAATGGTTTATACTGTCAAGATGCTAATGAAAGAACTTGTGTTTAAAGGAAAAGACATAAAATAAAAAACAACTGATGTGTCTTACTGAAATCTCCAAATACTTCACTGTCCAAAGTAGTTTTAAAGCCAATCTCTACAACGCACAAATAGGGCAATTTATGGAATGTTATGTAACATATTTGCATCTGTCATGCGGCACTGCTGAATGATCTCATGCATTTGTAATACGACACCAGAGACAGTGTCTTTAAAATGTAGCCTCAAAATAACTCAGATTTTAACAAAAATGACCTTTACTGTACAGTATGGGGAAAAATAAGATTTCAACATAACTATATATGATTTCAATATTCTTTCTCTATACCAAACATTATATATAGATACACCTGTATTCCACATAAAACAACATCTGAGCAAATTTGGTAAGGTACAATACGATGCCACTCATTAAAAGAAAAGAAAACCTGTAATAGGTGATAAACTTCATCTCACATCCCTGCTTTCACTTGGTCTTGTTTACCCAGTCAGGCTGTGTGTGTGTGTGTGTGTGTGTGTGTGTGTGTGTGTCCTCACCAACACAAGACTCTTCACATTCTTTTCCAACTTAGTGCAAGCCCTGCAGGAAATGTGCCTCTCATGTAAGGGCTTTCATCCTTCTTGCTACTCAAGCACCAGTGGGTTAAAAACCCAACTAAGAAGGCAGCCGCTCTCTTTATCCCTCCTGTGAATGTTCAGAGCCTCCAGGATGTGATGGAGAGGACAATTCAGAAAACCCCTGTTAAATTCCATGTAATAAGTAAGCCAAGAAAGTTATTCACAGCTGGATGTGGTGGTGCACTCTTTGTTTCGTTTTTTATCGGTACCGGGGATCAAACTCACAACCGCCTGCTTGCATGGCAGGTGCTTATGCTGCTGAGCTAAATCCCCCACCCCAAGTGGTGCACTCTTGTAATCTCAGCACTTCGGGAGGCTGAGACAGGACGATCATTGTGAGCTCAAAGCCAGCCTGAGCCACACAGCGAGACCCTGTCTCAAAAAAGACAACAAAACAGAAAGAAAGAAAAGAAGAAAGAAAGAAAGAAAGAAAGAAAGAAAAAAGAAAGAAACAAACAGAAACATTATTCACAGGATGTATGTGAATATGGGTAAGATGACAAGAACTGGCATTCAGCTACCTCTGGCTTTGTGGAACAAGAGGGAACGCCGACTGCTGAGTTGTGACAGGAAGCATCAGCCATAGAGCAAAAATGGACCGGGTGTCTCAGGCAAGAGAAGAGCAGCAGCTACTTTTTCACAAGTCCCAGGAATCACGAAGCAGATAAAGTATCTCAGACATGGACCGCACACCCGGGCAGGGGACTGCCAAAGTCAGAGCCAGGCCCAAGAAAGAAGAGCAGCACACTTCCCTCCAACCCCACCGATGCATTTGCTCCTCTAGTTAAAGGATTTATTTTTAAAACAACGTTAGCATTCTAACAGATTTAACAAGAACGACTGTGAATGAGGGAGGCTGGGCTAGCATTCAGGTAGGACAACTTGACCTAACCTTAGATAAATAGAGGTCTTTTCTTATTTTTAATAAGATGACCTACAGTAAATCAGCAATAGCGCCCATGATCTAAACTCCTGTCCAAACCAACATCACCAGAAGAACTGTTTCTTGCATTTGGTAAATTGTCCTTCACAGGGAACAGGACCTTGTAAAGTATTAGTATAAGGTATGTGAGACTGAGGAGAGAAAATCCGGTGCCCCAGGCAGGTGGACTCCCCTACACCAGGCATTTTAACACGGTCTCCACTGCTGCTTCCCAGCCAATTAGCAAGAAAATTCACGGATCTTTGCTCTTCTTGGTATTTACTCTGATTTTCTTTTCCTTAATATATAGCAGTTCTAGCCTAAATAATGACTAAGAAGGCAGTTATTTTAAGACTACTAAATTTTAGGGTCTAGGGATTTAGCTTAGTGGCACAAGCAACTACTTGGCAAGTGCGAGGTTGTCAGTGCAATCCCCGGTACGAGAAACAAATACTACATTTTAGCTATATTCTAAGTCCATGAAGACCATGGATCATAACTGGAGTTACATGGTAAATAAACGGTGTCCTGTCAGCCCCTTTCTTTAGCAATGGCTGTTTTCCAGTGTATTATTTAAAAGATCTTATAAGAGAACTATCCCAGTACATTACAAAGGCTTCAAAAACATCTACGGTTTTTCACCCAGAATGTGCATACTTCAAACCGCGTATTATCCAGAGTTTCCCTTGATGTTGCTTCCCTTCGCAGCCTAAGAGATGAGGGAGGAAGATGACCAGCTAGGTGCAGCCTCCACCTGCGGCTCCTCTGACTCATCAGCGCCAGGTACCTAACAACTCCCTCTCCACTGGAAACTCTTCCTCACCTGGCCCTCGTATCCCTCCTAAGCCTGGACAGCTCCCTCTCTTGGGGCTTCCGTAGCTCTACAAAGTTATGTCCCTTTCAGTGACTTCTACGCTGCACCTTTGTTTCTCTATCCACTTTTCTCTCTGAAGGGAAGCACAGTGTTCTTTTAATCTTCTGTATTCTCATTTCTTGAACATACTAGGCACTTTAAAAAGAATTAGTTCTCAGGCTCATAAGTGAGCTTGAAATGTACAACTTAATCCATATGCTAAGAGAAAAGTGCGTTTACTTGTGGTACCACAAGGCAGCCAGCATACTGGACTCTGCCCTGTAACTTACAAGTAGAATAAAGCATTATGTCCTTCTGTTTTCAAGAGCCTGGAAAAAGTGTCCTTTTGTGACCATCAAATTAAGAAAAATTTCCTATTATTAGGTCACAAACCAGATTTGATAGCACCTTTGTACATGGCAGGGGTCGTCTGGCCTCAGGAGCTCTTTGTCCACTCTGCATATGTGTGGCAGTTTCTTAAAAAACATGCAAATGGCCTACAAGTTATAACTCATGCTGGAACAAAACCTGCACACAAGTGCTTACTGCAACTTCATTTGTAACTGGCAGAAACTAAGAACAACCCACACGACAGTAAAGGGGTAAATGAAGGGCAATGTGTCCATACCACGGAATACTACTTAGCAATAAAAAGGGAGGGTCTGGTTACACACACTACCACATGGTGAATCTCCAGAGAACCTGGTGACTGAAAAACTCTTATTCCAGCTCTAAGTTTTCGAAATGGCAATATAATAGAAATAGATGGTTGCCTAAGGTTACAGGGAAATTAAAAGGGCAACGTGAGGGGTCGTCATGGTGATGGAAATGTTCTACATCTTGACTGTATTAATGCCAATGTCCTGGTTGTGCTATTGTGCTAATTATTTTGTAAGCTGATGCTGTTGGTGGAAAAAGAGTAAAGAAAATGTGATCTGTGCTATCTTTTGACTGCATCCATAATTATCTTAAAATAGAAAGCTTAAAAACATCACTGAAGATCCTAAATTACTTGTTTGTATCTGCCCATATGTATTATATTAGTAGCTTATTAATTTAGTAACAAAACAACAACTCATTAGATTTCATTTTTATGAAAAAGAACTTTTCTGGTGCCAAAATAAAAAATACAATGAGAAAAGAGGTATTACCTTATATTTTTATTGTCTGGTTGCTAGGACAAAATACCCGACATCCACAACTTAAGGAGAAGTTTATTTTGGTTAACTTTTCAGTCCATAGCTGGCTGGCTCTAAGGCAGGTCAGTGTGGCAGGGGAGCATGTCAGAGGAACGCTGCTCATGGCAGGAGATCATGAAGCCGAGACCAGAGGGAGGACGCTGGGAGGGAGGTAAACCCCTCCACATCAGCCTTCTGGCCAGCCTCCTCCCATCAGACCCCATCGCCTGACAGTCATAGCAGCTATAACGCCCTAGACCCCATCAGTCACCTTGCAAAGGTCCTGTCTCTGATCCCATGAGGCTTTAGGGGTCATGTAGATATAAAGCAAACATTCGTGAATTTGTAATCTTACATCTATTTGTTTTTCAATCTGTCGAGGGATCATATGCAAGAGATCATATGAAAATTCTGTCAAACACTTATGAGACAATGGGAGGGAAAGACACTGTGAAAAAAGATTTGACTTTGAGGACTCAAGGAGAAAGACTGGGGCAAAAGGGATCTAACAAGAGGACCAGTCAATAGCTGACAACCCTTTTGGAAAAGACAAAAACTGAAAATGGAAAATGCTGCGGTTTAGGTCTTAGATGCCCCTAAATGCTTATGTTTTATTATTTCAAATATTTGTTATAGTGCCCCTCACCACCAAAAAACAAAACCTAACCAAACCCTGACTGACAGCACTAGAGTACTCTTTCTTCCTTGGAACAGTCTGAACTAGTACGCTTTCCCACAGAGGCTCATCCTACTGGAAGAAACAGATCTGGGTATTATTTAGATGTGTAACAACATTCAGCACAGCTTATGGGATCTTACATAAATTCTGTTTTAAACTAGTCAACACTCACTTCCTAATATACAGCATTAGGACTGTCAAATATTTAGTTTCAACAATTCCACATTTACATTTTTTTCAAATGTCTACAGAAAAATGAACTCAGCACACTTAGCTATATATCTCAGTTCTTTTTTGTAATATCGGAAAAATTATTTTAGATTTTAGCATTCTTCAAGTTCTCCTTAGAATTAGATGGTGCCCTATTTAATATGCTAGAAACTTGGTAATAAGCTAAGCAAAAAATGCCAGAAGCTATGAAACTAAGGCCCAGAACTCTATGCCAGCTGGGTAACTAGGTCACTACACATTCATTCTTTCATTCACCACGTATCTATCAAATGTCTGCTGTGCGCTCCTCTGTTAGATACACACTGGTGTCGTGCTCTGTCTGTCTATGAAC